TTTTTTTGAGTGCTGCGCCGCACTCTGCTGCAGTGAAATACAGAGGCGACACTGGAGGGGTCGAGTAAGCAAGCTTACTCGTACGACCCCTTCGTGGCCCAGATGGACCACGGATCAGAACAGATACTACACTTGATCTTAGCCAAAAGGCCGAGAAAGGTATACCTATATTCTTCTCTCAATTTCATCTTTTTTTTTTTTTTTTTTTTTTTTGGAAAGCATTAGAATTTTTAATTACAAAAAACAGTAGCCTTAACGAGGCCGGGGGTCTGGTCCCACCTACGGCCGTTGAGTTTAGAAACCTCAACGGTGTGACACCCATTTACCGCATTTTTTAAATCCGAAAAATGCATTTCAGATTTATTCGTAGCAGTTTTTATTCATTTTAAGAAAATGATGCGAAAATAGTGGTTTTTGTCGAGGACGTCGAAGTGGGTCCAAAGAGCAATGAATATCGGCAAGAACACGGAAACATACATCGACTTTCCTTTTCCTTTTGTTTGTGCATGTGGTGAGCAACGGAGCGAGGCCTTACAGAGCCCACGCACGACAGTTACGGCTTTCATTGCACTGACGGAGTGCCTGACACAGTATACGAGAAACGGGGAACAGCAGACGGCGACTAAAAATCCCAAAAATCGCAAAATTTATCATCGACCATGTTGAGAAACCYACCCTCGACCGTGGAGGGTAGCTTTCTCAACTCCGTGGCGCTTGCCCATGCCGCCTTCCCTCCATTGCGGGAGTCCATTGGAAGTCCTTATACAAAAAAAAAATTGATTCAAATCACCCGGTAGGACATCAACATTTCAAAATACTTCCATCCGTGGGATCGCAACCCTGTCGACGGCCACATCCTGTCGAACGTTGTCACTCGCCGTAGAATACTCCGCGTTGAGTTTTCTCAACAACACAGGTGGGACCAGACCCCGGGGACCTCACAATTCGACCCGGAGTTGTCCTGGCAGCTTCAGCCAGTTTGGCTTACGAGCCTAGCTCGTGAAAAAACACCCCGACTGCAACAATCTGAAACTCCTCCCCTCTGCTGGAAATGAGGTCCAGCGTCCTCTGCTTATACGCTGTCCAGAAAAAGAAGATTATAACTTGAAGCCCAGAAAAGGTTGAGCTATCCTTACTGCCTAGCTCTCTTCATCCATCTTCACCTTTCGACACAAGTGACTGACAATTTCATCGTTCACTATTTACCTACCACTAATCCTAAGCCTATACTGTGGGCCCTACCCCTGCAAATAAGCTCGTCATCTTGTGTTTTTTTTTTTTTTTTTCTTTTTTTCTTTTCCCGGGAGCCCCAAAGCCTATGGCAGTTGTTGCCAGCCGAGGTAAATGGATGCCTGTGCTGGTTGGTTGCGATGATGGGAGAAAAAGGCCGTTCCGACTGCCCCCACATGGCGGAGACTGCATGACAGTCTCTCTGAGGCTGGCTCCTGTCCCCTTATGCTGTGATGGAGGTAGCATGAAGCTCTGTCACGAGGTCCGACCAAAAAGAAAAAAGAACAAAAAAAAAAGAACAAAAAAAAAAGAACAAAAACAAGCACCATTGTTTTTCTCCTTCTTATTTTTCAGAGGCCAATAGACCAGACCCGCGGTGATTGCTGGTAGCGGCAGCCAATGGTTGTCCTGACAGGATAGGCCACCTACCCTACCCATCCCCACGACTCCCAGCGCACCCCCTGTCCCTACTCTCCTTCCTCAGTGTGACCAGCACTCAGGACCATCACCCTACCAGTACAGAGGGCAAACTTGTCATTCCTGGTACCTTGGCGAATTTCTCAGGCTTCTGAGGGGCCGTAAGGCGTGGATGAATTTGTCAGAGAATAAGTCAGTTTTGGTGCCTTTTGTTTGGATCTGTTGGAGATCTGTTAGAGGTGGAACCCACTTGCCGGCGGCTGGAAAATCACCGAGGCCATAAAAAAGGGCCCACCATGGTTGGAACGTACTTGGCAGATTGTTTTCGTACCCCACCGCGACCACAAACTTTGGCATTGGAAACGGCAGCACTTACCCGAATAGGGAAACTTGGAAGGTAGGATCCGAAAAAGGAAAGTTCGCTAGGGCCGCGGTCGATGGCCGTCTATTGTGCCTGTACCAGGACATGTCCGTGTGCGGATGAGTGCAGATGTGTGCGAGGCGGTGTGACATGTGCTGAAGGGGTGCGATGCGGTACACAGGCTGCTTATAGGTCGCTCCCCCGCGGCTGTGCGTGTACGGGCAATGACATGATCGTTGGGGGCATGGTTTGTGTTTCCCCATCCTGCCGTTGGCACCGGGGCCTACAGGGACGTGCAGGAAGTGGGACGGCAGGTCCGGGTAACAACCGGGGGGGGGGCGTTTCCGGGATGATGACGACGAGCAGGTGAAGAAGGAAGACTAAGGTCTGGGAGAGACGTTTTGTTTTTTTTAACAAAGGTTTTGGCTGTGCAAAGTTGGCCGGACACCTGCGTGTCCACGTTGGGAACGGTTTCCCTGTATTGTGCCATGGAAACCACGAATCCTTCATGGGTGGCCATTCGGAAGAGGAGTGGGAAGACATGGTCTTCATGTTTGTCCTGATCATGAGGCACAGGGTCACTCCATTTTTGTTCCGGGACACGTTGGGGGCCATGACGATGCTTGTGACGCGCAACCTCACGCCCTGTGCTGTCTTTCGTTCGGAGTGTTAGTCATGCGGAAAGAGGCCCAGAAAAACAGCAAAGATGGGGTGTGCCAAGGATTTTTGGAAATTGAGTGTGGGGACACACACGGAACTGAAATCCCCGTGTTGGTCCGATGAAGCAAGTCGATCGTTTTCGCGCGTCACGGAACGCGCGCGGACAAGGCGGGAAGAGGAAAAATCCAAATTCAATCCAAAAAATATTGCCGCGCTTCCAATCAGGCTACGACCCGTCGTTTAGAACGGAAAGGCTTTGGCACGCTTCGCGTGTTCCGTTTCGGTATCAAGCCTCGTCGTCGTTCGCTGGTTAGTTCCGAGTCCGACGTGGACGGTCTCAGCCGTGTGGCTCTCTCTTTGTGCTCGTCTTCACTCCGTATCCGGTAGTGAAAGCCTTTTGATTCGTAGCGATCGAAATGCTGGCACTCAGTGCACAAGGTTCGAGGCCAACGAGGCGCCACTGCCGTCCACGGAATAACGATCAACTCGTTAAAGGGGAGCAATATCGAGTAGCGTGGGAAGTGGGTATCGATAACGACAAAACCCGCATCTATGAATCCAGAACAACGATTTTCGGGAGGGAAGAAGTATTGTCCGTCGATTCGTGCGACAGCTTCTCGTACGTCCCACTCACATACACGTGTCCTTTCCTCGTTATAGGGAAAAGGCCGTGTCGGGATGGGAGATACGGGAGGCTGGCGCCTGATCGAAGGGCACTGGTCAGTCCACATATCAATCAATTCTAAAGACCTTGCGAGGTCATCAAGGGAAGAAAACTCTTGCGCAACTTACAATCAATTCCTTTCGATACGCGAGAGAGAGAGAGAGAGTGAAAAGAAAATGCTTCCTCAGCTTGAAACATGCATAAAACCGAAGGATCAATTCGTGGCTCGAGCTTAAGGAGCCAGTGCGACGTGTGGTTCGACTGCTGATGTCGTGCAACATAAGGTAGATGGCATGCGCAACACATTCAAAGATACAGATCTAAACACTCTTGCATTCTCGAACAAAATCCCGATGACAATCGTCTAATCAACACGAAAAAGAGTCACATATTTCCATACGTGCATTCACTGTGGAAGGTGCGAAAATGAGACATGCACCGGAAAAGATGGGTTGCATTGCACAGTACACACACATCCACCGTTCACAAGACAAGAAGGCGGGGAACTTGCGTAGGAGGATTACCCAGGAAACTAATGGAAGAGTTCCGGAAGAAGTTCTTTTACTCAAGGGAAGCGCACCAATTTGTTCCTACTGAGGAGAGAAAACGAGAGACAATCAATCGAGACACATCATTATTCAAAAGTAGAGAAAAGAGAGGGGGGGGGGGAGAGAGAGAGAGAGAGAGAGAGAGAGAGAGAGAGAGAGAGAGAGAGAGAGAGAGAGAGAGAGAGAGAGA